ATAGTAATTTTAATAATAAATTTGAAGTTAAATTCGTTTCCTTTTTTAAAAAGTGAATTGAAATGTTCCACATTAAATTTTATTTCAGTTGGATTAGTATTTTAAAATTTAATTTGTAAAATTTACATTTAAACTTAAATTTTAAGTCATTAACTTTTATTTATATACGCGATAGAACAAAATTACCTGAATTTTTTTAAAGATTTTTAATATGTTCTTCTTCAAATCTTCTATTAATTATTTTATTCATTTATTAAGGAAATACATATCAGTTTCGCTAAAAATATTAATCAAATTATTAGTAGTTCAATCAAAGAAATCAACGTTCATTTTTATAATTTTGCCTTACTTGTTTCGAAGGTTCTGACGTAATAATTACTCTGTAGTAATATTGAAATTTATAAAAAATTAATGTTAAGTGCTCCTGGTCTGAACTTCTAATAATTGTTATTCGGCATGTTGCTGTTATTTTAACATTATCAAATGTCGACTATTTCTTTATCCTTTCTATAAACTGTAAATGATAATATTCAAGTTTTCTAAACTCTTAAATTTTCTTGATATTCTAACGTACCAGTGGAATGGTTCTAAACCGTTTATTTACTCTTCATAAATTGGAATAATTCTTGGCTCTTCTCCATCTTCGCTTTCACTTTCAATCAAATTTCCCTTACCTCATTGGCAACATCTTACAGATTAAATTTTGTCCGACATAACGTCATTTAAAAATGTCCTTTTCTAAATGTAAGGCAAAGAATAAGGCCGTTTGGATGGTCCCACCAGTACATCCATGGTATCAGAGTAAATGCCCTGGTGACTCCTTGGTTCAGTGCAGCAATAGACGAGATCAAACTGCACTTACTAGATTCCTTAGTGGCCATCTGTTATCAATGACTTTTGTCGGTGGTAATAAACACTTTGAAATATGCACTAAGTGTTCTACCGCACAGGCCTCTCCTGATCACATCTTAACTTGTCTGGGGTTTACCAGACAGGATCTGGTTCAAAACCCCCTTTTTGTACTGGACTCTTTCAGGGTGACTGGGCTCATGGACCTGATCTAGCTCTGCTGGTCACGCGGATGAGAAACAACAACAACACAACAAAATGTCATTAAAATATGGATTGAAACTAATTTTGCTTAGCAATGTTTTCCAGTTATTTTCTTCAGAGTCATAATCGTATTCCTCAATAATATTGCCATGAAATATACAGTTTCTTAAGCTTGAGTGTCTTTCTTTATGTTTCATTTTTTCACAAAAAAAGCAAAGCTCCAGTTGATATCGAAAACACTTTTAAAATATACTGATGATTCCCTTAGTCCGTGGGTGTACCAGCGTCTAAACGGTAATGTCGCTGAACACTGATAATTCGAGCTGGGATCGAATCTCGTAGAACGGGCTTGGCTACACGGTTGTTTTTCATGGTTTTCCCAATGTGTAACTTGAATACGAACCAGCTTCCCTTAAAAGAGGCTCCATGAAGGCATCCCTTCCATAAGACAGATAGCCCTTGGATACGAACCAGTTTCCCTTAAAAAGTCCTCCATGAAGGCATCCCTCCCCATAGAGAGATAGCCTTCGAGTTTCTTTACCTTAACCAGTTAACCTAACCTAACTATCCTTAGTTCATGAGTTGCTACACTAAAGTTGCCAATCAGAAGCAATAAAGTTTTTCACGTTATTGACATATTATTTGCATGTGTTGCTCTATGTATCCATAGAGAAAGGTAATTTTTTCTGAGGGCTTTTTTTTTCAATTCTGATAAATATTGTTCATAAAATCTTATTCGTATCTACGAGTTCTTGTTGCTTTTATAAAGGTTCGATAATGCTTTAACATTTAGAAAACATCGAGTTTTTTCCCCTCCAGTTCTAAAAAAAGTGTAATTTTTCTGTGCCATTTAATTAAAATTTAAAAAAATGTTAATCTTGGTTTACAGTAATTTATGCCGTGCCATTTTTCACCATTATAGGTGTAAATCTCCTCAGGAGGAATGTTAACAGTTCATAATCCCCCTCATGTTCAAAATGGCTTTTGCTTGATAACCAGACAGAAATAGTGGTAAAAGTTGACTTTACCACTTTTTTGTTTCAATGGTACCTACACTTTTGAATTCATCATTCATGGATAGACTGAGGCATCGGGCTTTAAAAACCCATCTATGCAACTATTAGGTGGTAAAAATGTTCAAAAATAATTTAAAAGTTGCTTGTGTGGTACTAAGATGAATGAGGCCGCCATTTCTTTACATTTGAAACTCTTAGTAGAATAGTGAATTAAATCAGTTTATGTACCAAATTCACCTACCTAGTGGGACCAAAAGTTAACTTTCAATTCTGTACACAGAAAAATCAGTCTTCCTGCTCGTTGGCCGAATTGCTTGTTTGGGTGTAGAGACTAATTTTTAATTGTAAAAATTGTTTTTTTAACTTTTTTAACTGTAATAGTGTTGTATGTTTTCCTTTACTTTAAAATTTTTAATGAAGATGCTTTCAGTTTTTGTGTATTTTTGCTTTGCTGCCAAGTGAGAACTGAACTGATTGAATGAGAAGTATATCTCTAATGAAATTCGAGGAAATAAAGTTGAAATGAAGTGAAGCAAACAATGTGTATAATTTAATAGGCCGTACAAGTGAATTCATGTGATGTCCACATCAGATTTTTATTTTAGAACCGTGGTATCGAATTTCTTGGGGACGATATCATATTAAAAGACACAGAAAAAGAGGATTGAGATGTCTTCTTTTAAACTATTATTTTTGTTCCGTTGCAAACTGTAACAGAAAGCTATAAACATGGATCCAAACTTAACAGGTAGTTTAACGTAACAATTTCCCTTGGAAAGTCTTTCACGAAAGCATCTCTTCTCTTAGACAGCCCTGAGATGCTTTGCCGTATTGAAATAACCTAGCCTTACCTTAATATCTAATTTGTCTAGGCGTTTTGCTAACCATCATGATGATAGCAATTTGTTAATCTTGCGTAAATTTTAGAAGAGTAGCAATTTTTTAAAATACCTAAGCGATCATTTTAAAGCTCTGTAGCAAAAATGACGAGTAGTAATAAGTTGTACCTGTAAATAGACATCTTTTTTCTTTGTTATATTTTTCTTGATAAATATACAGTATTCTGTATATTTTATAAAATGAGAATATTTAAATATTATGCAATAATTAATTTTATTATTACAAACCAGAATTTTTTTTAAATATGAACTAACGTAGAATTTTAAATCCCGTGTATGTAAATCATTTTAAATTTGTTTAAATTGAATAAACGTAATTCATTATTATAACACAAAATTAATAATTTTATAGCAACATTGTCGTCAAAGACCATTAGCAGTCTCAAATAATTTGCGCCGCCCAGCGAGGATATGGTTAGCGACGCTGACTGCCATTGTGTATAGATGGCATTGGTTTTTGTAATGTACAGTGTGTGTGCGACATGGGAGTACTCTAAATATACGGTGAGCCGAAAGTCCTCTCGGGAGGTTAGTGGTAGCGGCAGGGGAGTGGGATACCCTTGGACCGTCCACACCGGGCTGCTCTCCGTCAAAACTGGGGGGGGGGGAACTGAGCAAAGTCGTACTGCCACCTGTCTGGTGTTCAAGGCTGTTGCCAACGACAGGCCCAGTCTCGCACTCCTTGCCACGATGAATTTTATAGGCTTGTTCTGATATTACTGTCAGACAAGTAACAACATAACTGTTGATAAGAAACAACAACAATTAATTTGCAATATCCGCATCCTGACAAAAACAAAATTACGATGAGAAAAGGCAGTTTTATTTTACATGTATGTTTCTGTAACGAAGAGTTAAATGAGAATTAGAATCAAAATTTGTTTTATTATGAAATGGAAATGTTTATTACTTTTGTCTAAAACCTAGAATCATTATAAAAACGAAAGACCAAATTTTAATTTAATTTCTTTTCATCATTCAACCGCATGCAAATTAAGCGTCATAATTCCTATTCTAGAATCATTATAAAAGCAAAAGACCAAATTTTAATTTAATTTCTTTTCGTCATTCAACCGCATGCGTCATAATTCATATTTAAAATTTTCTTGTACTTAAATATTTATTGTGATTTCGATGATTTGGTTCGAAAAGAGCACATTACCTTTTTTAATTTCGAAATAACAATTTAAATACCGTTTCCAAATATTTAAAAATAGGCACGTGTATAAAAGATCATGAAAAATCACATTAGGTTTCATTTCAACATATGCAGTAAAACACATTTCAAAAGTTTTGTCGCTTACGTACTTTATTTTTTCTTGTCTCAAAAATTTTTGCATTTTGATAATATTATATTTCTGGTTTTATCTTTAAAGAGTTTTCCACTGGAAAAATTCAGATTAATCTTTGGAGAAACTTTTCTTTACTTCCTAAAAAAGATTCCTTTATTCCTTTTTAATGAAATTCTCAATGAATGTTATTATTGTAAAAATTTAAACTAGAAATGGAAGTCATCAGTATTAGAGTTTTCAGGCAGTGAAATGGATTTCTTTTTGTGTGTGTATGTGTTCAATGCTCTTCGACTGGCCCACCATCGGCCAAGCGGTGAAGTCACCGAACACTGGTAATTCGGTGGGGGCTCGAATCCTAACGAACGAGTTGACTGTAGGGGCGTTTTCGTGGTTTACCCCATGCGTAACGGGGATACAAGCCAGTTTCCCTTAAAAGTCCTTCACGGGGCTTCCCTCTTTTTTCGCGGTTGCCAATGTCTGCCTCTCCATAATCGATTAAAAAAAAAAGATAAAATTTGCCTCTCGATTGACTACACATAATAAATAAAAAAATTTAATTTGTTAAAAAGCATTAAATTTAAATCAGAAAATTAATTTAAAATACATATAAATATACAGAAAGGTCTACAACGTGTAATGTGTATACGAGCCAGTTCCCTTTAGAAAATCCTCCACGAAGACATCTCCCTCCTTAGGCAGATAGCCCTTGCGTGCTTAACTACAAAAGAGTCTCAAAAGAATAATAATTGAAAACACGTTTTATTTACAGAAGACTTATAACAAAGACACTATTTTCGACATGAGACATAAAATTAATGACTTCTAAAATAAAAAACCTTATCCTTACTATACACATATATATATACAAATAGGGAACAAATCATAGTCATTCTATTTAAGTAACGAGTAATTAGAAAATGTTTTAAAATACTTCATTTTGTAATATTATATATAAAATATACAGTTCTTAAATTACTAATTTCCATGATGATCATTACCTTAATCCATCAAGGTAACATCAAATGCAACATCATAAACCCTGAGAAATTTCTTAAATGTTTCCAGTACTGAGAAACAAGAACTAGTAGTTTTTCTGCCTGTTAGCATCCTCAACGTAAACAGGGACATACGTATACCTCTCTTTCGAGTTTGGATACTCATTATCTTGTTCTTCTTCTTGATGTAATGCAGCTTCAATAGGTTTTTGATACGAACTATAAGCATGTTGCGGTGGAGCTACAGAATGCGCAGGTTTTTGATATGAAGCATAAACCTGTTGTGGCGGAGATTCATAATGAGCAGGTTTTTGATATGAAGAATAAACATGTTGCGGCGGAGCTTCCACATCAAAATATGCATGCGCTGGATATGAACTGGCAGTTCCGGGCTCATTTGTACGGATTTTCACTCGAAATCCCTATAACAATATTATTAAAAATTAAAAAGATTTCTTGAGTTCAAAGCAAAGAAAATGATTTTTTTTCATAAAGATAAATTATTAAAAATTGTGCATAAAATTCTTTTATGGGAAATCTTTTCAAAACTTTATAAAATGCCCCATCAAAATATGGAGTATGGAAGTAATTTACATATAAAACAGCAAACTAAACAACATTTGAAAATATATAAAAGCCGTATTATGTTTCAAAACATAAAAATGTACAGATGAGATGTATTTGTTGAAAATTTACGACAAAGATTACATTCATCAATGGCGTCGAATTTTCATTTTAATTTCCTACTCATCACATTTTTACTCGGTGGAAAGTTTTCACGCTGTTATTACACTGGAAGCCAGTTTTATTTGTATTGTTATCAAGTTATCTGGAAAAAAACTTAATATTTTTTTTAAAGTTTCCATAACTAACGAGAATTCATAGATTTTTTCTGCGCTTGTGCAACAAATACCTCAGAGTGCGTGTAATATATATAAACGTGTAAATAATATTTGTCTACGAAAAATAATTTGCAACAAAATTCGACAAGTGACCAAATGGAGCTACTCGTAATTGACAAACTCAGATTAGACATTCCATGAAATTAAATCCGCAAATTCTGAATATATCTGCGAGTAAGGAAACTGTCTTTTACTGCCAATTGTAAGAAAGATTCCATCAGTTCGTGACATTGATTCTTAGGTTTATTTCTTAGGTTATATTTAAGTTTAAATCTGTAGTATTCGTCTTTGCCGTTTTCACAATATTCACTCAGACAAAAAAGTTAAACAGAATCGCAAGACGTAGTGTTTAAAAGTTTAATCTTAACCATTAACTCTATGTTTAGACTAACTAACTGTAGACTAACCGTAAATGTTTAAGCTATTTCGTAAGAGTTTACAGAATACGCTATGTCTGACTAATAAACCTTATTTCCTGCTGTGATGACGCTATGCCATAGTAATGCTTTTTGCTTCCTTGTACAAAATAAAGGAAGTATTGTAATTACGAAAAATTCCGGGTACTATATTCTAAACGAAAATATCCATTTTGACCGCTTGTTTTCGCGTGACATCTATACGTAAGGACAGAATAAAGGACTCTTTTCCCCAAATGAATTAAAAAACTGATTTAAAATAGATTCTGAAGGGAACTTTTCGTGACGTCTGTACGTACGTACATATGTATCTCGCATAACTCAAAAACGAATAGCCTCAGAACGTTGCAATTGTGTATACAGGACTGCTATAACGTGTAGGTGTGCACCTCCCTTTTTGGTTGCAATCGGTCGCACCAAAAGTATATAAATATAGATATATATAACATAACCACTCTGTTAGTCGGCTTAGTAAGCTCAGTTTTTTTATATGTTGGTAAATTGTGCATTTTTTGCTTTAAAAATGATTTAATTATGCTGTTCTTATCATAGCGTTAAGGTTCTTATAGCTTTAGTTAATCTGCATGCAATAATTGTAGAATTATCAACAATTTAAAAGTTGTTTAAGTGTGGCAAAGCTTAACTTTTGTTTATAATAGCAGCCCTATTTGTTTACATTTAAAACTTAGCAGAATAGTGAATTAATTATTTCTGCACCTTCATGTCTTTTTGACGAGTGGGACCAAAAGGAAACTTTCAGTTTTGTGCACCGAAAAATTTGCCTTCTTTCCTGCTTAAATAACTGAATTAATTGAATAAGAAACATATCTCTAATTAAATTCGAGGTAATAAGTGTATCGTGTTAGCAGCAAATACTGCCGCCAGTTTGTCTCGGATAGAAGAGAATGTTTGCGAATAGCGAATAGGTAAGCAGCGCTGAATCGTCTGTGAAAAAATGTTTCTTTTTTATTTTTTTTATCCATGGTTTTAGATTTATTATAATATTTGAATAGAACATGTGCCAACGATTAGATTATTCTTCAGATGATATAAATTTTGTGCATTCTGAGTTATAAAATGAATGAGATTTAACGCTGTTAAGAGAACCCTAGCGTCAGAGTATCGCTATGGTAAATAAAAATAGTGAGTTTTAAAGAGTGCATTTATTCTGCTGTGGTTTTATGCGCTATCGACGAACTAGATTTAATTTAATTCAATAATTTTAAATGAAATGCAGGAAAAAATGCGCAAAAATTTAATATTCCGTACAAAAAAATTATGTGGTGTGCACAACAGGTTTTTTTTTTTTTTTTTTTTTTTTTTTTTTTTTTTTTTTAAATTTAGCAACAGTGAATTTATCCGACCAGTTGTTGTAGTTTTGAATTAGAATTTTGCTGTAACTTTTTAATCTCCTAACGGCCAGGGCAAGTGGCTTCATTTTTTTTATGGGGAGGGGTATAGCGATAAATTAATTATTTCAGTTTAGTTTGTAAACCATAAAGAATAGATAAATAAATATTTATTTGATTTTAACTTGTGTTTGTGTTGACAATTAAATAATTATCAGGGCTATTAATCACCAATTACTTCAACTAACTCTGTCGTCGCTAAATTGAACACTCAGTTTAAATTAATGTCATATCACAAGTTCCCGGCGTGAAATTACGATCTTTTGCACAATTCCCACCTCAAACCTTCGGTTACGAGGGTGATGTTATGCAACTGCTTGATAGGTGAGAAGAGATTGCAAGTGACGATCTTAGGCGTTTCAATACTTTTAAATTGCGCGTTGAGAGCAAATTTCCATTTGGCAACTTATAAAATAAAATAGTTGGACAGTTATGTTTTCAATTATCATATTTTCTAATTTAATAATAAATAATGAATCAAATAATAGAAATCGAAAAATTGTATTAGACGCATAGGTCTGTCAGGATTTAAAATTTACAGATTCTGTCACCTTTGTACATACAGCGTTATATGAACATGAAGGAGAAACAAGATTTCCAGAACTGCAACTAAATGCAACGCAGACTCCATTAGATATTTCTCTCCTAGTGCTAATATTTTGATCTTCCAGGCAGACGATGCTCAGAGGTGACAGGCGGAAATTCTGAATGTAAAGGGGTGACACTCAACCGCAAAGATATGTGACATTCCTATTCTTTATATGCATTTATAATCTTCAAATTTAACTTTAAAATAAAAACAATATACCAATTAACTTCATTTTAAAATATCCCTATGAAGACCAGCTCTGAAAATGACGAGTACTGCTCCCAACATAAATGAAGATCTCCTGTCGAATCATATATGAACTTCTTCCTCTCTAAGACGACCATCTCTATAGAAGCCACAATTATGTAGAACCATGGGTCTTGGCGTTCATTGAAAAATGTCCTCATATTGAATTTCAGTACTGTACAGAGCATTCTAGCTTAAAAGTCCTAAACCATCAAATACTGTAGTCCACTACAGTCGAATTTTTATCAAAAATTGACCTCATATTACGGGAATTTGGAGAAACAATAAGTAATAATTTGAAGACTCATTACGTTTATTATTTTCAGAAGATAAAAATAGAATAGAAAAGAATTAAAAATAACAAAATGAATGAGGACTCATCGTAACTAAAAACTTTTTTACATAACTGCAAATTATATTCAATGATAATGAGTACTCATACTTACATCATGGTCTGCAATATAATCTACATGCCTGTAAACTCCATAGGCGTCAGTGTAGCCGTAAGAACCTTTCTTGTTGTTGTATGCATCACTTTCTTCTTTATGCCACTGTGAATTACCTTTTTCGTCCTTGATATTGTATCCAAAATGGTATGGATGAGGTTTCTGAAGAAGAAAGGATATTTTACTTCATAATTAACAATTAAAATAATTAATTGTAACATTAACTTTAAATATTTTATATATATATAATACATTAATTTTAAATTAAAAGCTTAAATGTATAAAAGGATTGTTGCGAAATGCCAAGCGGCTGCGCGGTCCTCACCAAACGTGACGAAATCTGCGGCTGAGCAGCGTTGTGCCAAAGGGGCTTAGGGTTGCCAGAAAGTGGCAGGGAAAGGCAAAGGTTGCCAGGTTTCGCGCAAAATCGCCCATCTGGCGTTATCTGACAACAAAATTGGTGAAACCATAAATTGGTGATAAGCTACAGACGGAACGAGAACATTCTAGAACGCATTTTTAGCGGTTTTCTCGGGAATATTCTCGAAGGTTGATCTATATATACCCTGCCAGTACAGGAGAGAAGGGAGTGTCTTGAATTCAAAGATTAGCTTGAGAGCGATCGACCGAGTCGAAAACAATACTTTAGTGTTTTGCCGTGAAGCTCTCTTCACCCGTATACCCAGAAGGCTGTGTTGCTGATTGTTTCAATGTGTTTGTCGTAGTTCTTCGAAGAGTGTAAACGTGTCTTTGGAACTGCCCTGTGTAGTAATAGATACTGGCGAATAACGTGTTTTATTATTCTTCAGCAAGTGTTATCATCAATTACTCCAAATCCACGAACCCGTAGAACGCAACAGTTACATAGTAGTAGTCTTTTGCAGTAATAGATAGAATTATCTGTGTTATAAACTATTTTACAAATCAAAATGAGTAAAATTTGAGTATGTTTAATATTGTTAGATGTACTTATATACAAAATGGATAATTGCCAGTTAAGTATCCACTCTGTTATATTTTAATATTTACATGGGTAAACAATACAGACATCATTAGATAAGCCTTTTCCAACCAAAATATTTGATAGTAAATTATCTCGGAATGCTATAAAATAATAAATTGCAAGAAAAGTGTTCGAATGAAATTGTTAAAGTCTTTCGAAGATAACATCTCGCATATATTCCGAAATCATATTTGTAAATAAGTGGCTATTTTTAGTTAAAACCTTGTTACTATAATTTAAGAGTTACCCTTTCGCTTTAGTGTTCAAAATTAATATGAATCGGCTCCTCAGATTGCTGCGAATTATTCTGCAATAAATGAAACAATTAGTGTCGTTAATTTCAATTTTCTGACAGTATAAGGTATTTCTCCCGCCTTTTTAGCATGCCTTCGTAGAATAGTGGTCAGCACACTGAGCGCGTAATCCAGAGGTCCGTGGTTCGATTCCCGCTGAAGGCCTTGCTCATTTTTCCCATCTCCTGCTTCAAAATGCTTCAAAAAAAAAAAAAATACCTAATGCCTCTACAATGGCACCCGAGCTAAAAGGGTGGCGGATGATGATTCTCCACACCCAGGATTTTGCGATTGGGACCCGTAACTCCCCCTTTTAAAAGGGGGAAGTATATAAGGTATTTCTCCAGCCTTCTTAGCATGCCTTCGTAGTATAGTGATCAGCACGCTGGGCGCGTATTCCAGAGGTCCGTGGTTCGATACCCGGCGAAGGCGTTGCTTTTTTTCACATCTCCTGCTTCCAAAAAAATACCTAATGTCTCTACAACTGTTTTTCGGTTCTGTAAAACATTTTTAAAATTTTTTTTAGAGAAATGAAAACTGAGAAAACGAACGAAAATCTTTTTTCTTCATCTTCTTCTTAAGTTAAAGCTTTTAATAAAAGTTATATTTTTGAGGATATAAATTCTGAAAAAAAAGCCATGATTGTTATGCGAAGCAGATTTTAGCATTTTAGACAAATTTCAAGGTTGCACCCTTCTAAATACTTTCATGTTTTCCCAATTCGTATGTAATCTATTATATTTTACTTTTGCATTCCTTTGTATTTTTATATGAGGCAAATATATTTCTTGCTTTGTCCGGCTCTAATGTGAAACTTTTCCTTTCGTAAATATCTAAATCCATGAATCTCTGTTTCTTACAAATCCAAGAATGTCTGTTTTATACGAATCCATGAATCTATGTTTCATACGAATACGAATGTCTATTTCATAAGAACATCTGGAACTTATGCGATATGTTCTGTCGCAAAAACTTCATAAAACTACGTATTTATAATTTGAAGTATTTCAATAAATTTAAAAAGAAACTTTTCTTAACATTATAGTTTATGTTGTAACCAAAACCCATGTCATGCTTAAATGGTTAGCGAGAATTCCGCAGTCGATTTGGAGAAACACACGAGTTAGATTCATAATTATGCGACCTTCATTAAAATTTGCTTTCTTTACATGAGGTGATGGTCAGATTGCAACTCTTAATATAAAGAAACGCCATTCATTATTAAACAATACGTTTAATTTTGCATAAAATGCAGCCCATGTTATGCCCTAGTTTGGGTCATTAACACAATGGCCTAATTCAGACAGAAAAGCAGTCAAAAGAAATGAAATGCATTTATAAGGCTTGATACACATTTACACTATCCTAAGCTCAGCAATCAATCTGTCTTTGCTTTCTGTCCTACATGGATTAAAGGCCGATTAGACAACGTCATGGCTTTTGAATGAGTACGCTTCTTTGACATGACATGGACATCTTCAAGAAGGAAGGAAAAACGCATCGTAATGAGCTAGCGTGCAATGTTTTATCCTTCTATTAATAGGCTCCACCTTGGAAGTAAGTAAAGTAGTTCATAAAGTTGGAGAAAGGTATAATCAAAACACATGATTTTATGCACATATTATTACAGGAATTTACAACGAAATAAAAAAGAAAGAGTAAAACTGATTTTGTACTTCCTTGTACGAAGTAAAAAGGAAGTATTGTAATCGCGAAAAGTTTCAGGCAGCATATTTCAACGAAAATATCCATTTTGACCGCTATCGAATGCAATTTAACGATGTTTTTGAGTGACATCTGTATTGTAAAACAGAAAAGACTCTTTTCCTCCAAAAAATATATAAACTGCTATGAATTCTGAATAGAATTTTGCTCAAAAACGATGTAGCCTCGAACGTTGAAATTTTGTATATAGGACTGCTATAACAGTAGATGTGCACTTCGTATTTGGTTGCAATCGGCCGCACCAAGTATATAAAATATTTATATAATAATATACCCTGTTACCCGGCTCAATGATCTCAGTTTCTTTACTCTAAAGTTTAAATTGTGCATTTTTGCTAAAAATGATTGAATGATGTTGTTTATCTTCCGTTAAGGTAATTATCTAGGTAATCTGCAAGCAATATTTGTAGAATTATACAATTTAAATCTGTTTAAGTGCGGTTTAATATTTAAATAACATGACGGACACATGTTTGTTTACATTTGAAACAGAAGAATAGTAGATTGTTGACAATCTAGAGACTAAGCTTCCCACAACAAAATAACGCCTTCATTAGGATTGCGAATTAAATCTTAATTCTTTCTGGAATTCTTCGAGGAAATTAAGTGTTAAGATTTACTTCATATTTTAATACAGATATTTTGAGTTTTTATGTATTTTTTGCCTTGTAGCGAAGTGAAACTGAACTTAATTGAATGAGAAATACTGATCGTCTGTGAAAAACTGTTTCTTTTTTGTTTGTTTGCTTAATTTCTTTATACCGTCTAGTTTATTATAGTATTTAAAGAACATTTGCACGATTAGATAATTCTTCAAAATGATATAGATTTGTGCATCTGAGTTATAATATGGACGAAATATAACGGTTAAGTAACCTAGCTCCAGAATGTCGCTATGGTAAACAATTATAGTGAATTTTAAAAAGTGCACTTATTTTATTGTGGTTTATGCGCTATCGACGAAGTAGATTTAATTCAATCCAATAAGTTTAAATGAAAGCTCTAAAGCTATGTTGAGCTAGATGTTGAGCATGGGAAAGCTTTAAATGAGTTTGGGTATATTTTTTATTAAATTACCAGTGATGTTAAAAAGATGAGAATACTGGAAATTTTAGAAGAAATTATTTAAAATAATTTTCTTTTAAGTTTGAGATTTTTATATATAGCCTTCGAAAAACGTCTTTGCATATTTAAACCTTAATATTATTAAGAATTTTGTATATAGGTAGATTATTTTAGAATCTAGAGATGATGCTGTTCAGGAAAAGCAAGAATACCGGGGCAGGTGTATTTAACATTGGGTAAATGCTGTCTGGCTAATTTGACGAGATATTGCCAAGCTGGCAAGGGTTTTGGCGACAAATTTTTGTCTCCAAATTTGGCAGGAAATCGCCAAAATCCGCCAAACTTGGCGACCATTTGGCAATATTTTCGTCCGGTCCCTGTATAACTGTAATGGATATTGTAATTGTATAATTGTAATTAATGTTCTGTGAAACTGTAACCGTACTCGGCCTTCATATGCCTTCCAGTAATTTCGATAAGTAATAGACATTTCTAGGAAGCCGGGTGAAAACTATATAACACTGGAAAGAGCATCTGCTCTCATTTGTTAGTTTAGCGTGAATTCGGAGTACTGTGATATCTCCGGGTTAGCTTCGCTCTTTAGATGTCCTTTGCGTTGCGTTGTGTTTAACGTTCTTAGTAGTTTGAAGTGTAACTACTGATTGTGCTCTATGATACTGGGAAGATTTGTACGATTATTTCTGTGGAAAGTTCCAGAACTCTGAAGAGTTTCTTCCGATAAAATAAATTTTATTAACCTATCATCGGAGCTGTGTAATTCAATCTAATATGAACCCGTATGCATGCAACAATACTATTAATTTTCATTATGCGTTTTCTTCTCTCATCCGCGCGAATAGATTTTTAGAAGCGGTAGTTGTCAGAAAAATAAAAATCGATAATTTATTTTTCGTAATCACATATATATTTTATTGCTTTGAGTATTTAAATGAAAGTAAGAAATTTTTAAAAATGATTTTATGTTATGAAAGTGCATTATTGTACATTATTGTTGTACATTATTGTTGTAGGTAATGTGTATAAAAGATAGCCATTTCCATATTTTAGGAAAGCGCCTCCTAGCATTAGTTATCTGAAAACAGGTGTCATCCCCTTTAATTCGGACAAATGGATTTTTCTGCTGTATTATTGAGAATAAGGACGAAATTTGTAATATTGAAGAAAGTCTTTAAATTAAAGCATTGCTGTATATAATGAATGCTACAAATAAGAGTGTAAATTATTACTCACGTGGTGGTATTCATGGTAGTGTTCTCCAACAGCATCCCTCTTTTCATATTCATTTTGCGCTCGGTACTGCAAATGCCTTTCCTGGGCTTTTACTTTGCAGCAAAAATAAAAGAAAACCAAGAAAATGGTAACCTGAAAGCATACACATAGTTTTTATGATATTTGTAATTCAATGTACAGCTTATCATTTCGCTCTCTCAGTTTGAAAATGCACTGCTGTACAATTAGTAAAGAAGGTATGATGGTTATGATGGTTATAATGTTAAAAAAATTGCTATATTGACAGTAAAGAATACGATATAATAATGTCAAACTTTGCAGACCATTAAAGCTATTAAGATCTTAAGATTTACACACACACACACACACACACAAAAAAAAAAAAAAAAAAAAAAAAAAAAAAAACCCATAATTTAAATGTCTCATTACCAAGGAAATAAATAATAGTGTTTCAATTAATAGCACAGATGTAATAAAAATATAAATAAAAAGATATCATGTCTCTTTAAGCTAAAAACATTTAAAAAAACAGTATATCTTTAGAATTTCCGATAGACAGTTTCGCGCGCTGGAGATAAAAATGTTTTACTCCCTATAGTGTTGGTACTGCTTGTTTTGTAATCGGAGTTTTTAATCAAAAATTCGTTAAAGTTTTACAAAATATTAGTAGATAATAAAACAAATTTGAAATTCAAAATTCAGGTTTCCAGGTGCCCATATTCGGGTGGAGGACTACGTTATTCAAAATTTGATGGCTCTAAGTACCGTTGTTTTTTCACAGAGCGAGAAACATGTGTACGTTCATGCAAAATTTTTATTATTTAATTTCTTTAAATATAATGATATATTCTTTAAACATAAATAATTTTCATAAATACAATTTGAGATGTGATTCAACGCTTTTGGTGATTCGACGCAAAATGCCGTTTTGAGACTAACCCTTCTGTGCCAATGCCCCTTTAGTTTAATAAAATCGGCAATGTTGCCTGCTGTGTATGTTGTCGAAACCAAAATTATAAAACTAACATTTTGTGATATTCCCGAAAAACTTTAATATAACCTATCTAGCAAAATTTTGCGTCTTTATAAAAATTTCCGATTCAATTGTTTAGAAGGAAAGGATTTGGGAGAAAAAAACATTTCCAAATAGCTACCTCGTGCAATTATAAATGTAAATCTTCCGTGGCGGGATTTTGCGTCTAATTAACGTGATTCAAAACTGTTAGTAACAGAGAATATTTTTATTTGATAAACGGCATTTCTCGTGATTGAAATTCCTAATTTATCATAATTTTACTGAAAAGTGTACATTTATGAAATTGGATACTGTCTCTTTGAACATTTGCAAATAAATCTATTTTGTACCAATAGTCTACATAAGAAAAAATTTTGGCTTCTTTTTTTAAAATAAATGTAACGTTGTAAAAAATGCATGTTTAACAGTTCCTTGAATAACACTTTCTGTTGTATTGTGAGTGCTATTAAGTTAAGTACTGTGAGTGCTATTAAATTAAGTTAGTTAAGTATTTTTTACTATTTCTAATTATTTTGTTAAAGCTTCACTGAAATATTAAATCCGATAAATCTCAATGGACATGACTCCTTGTTTGGTTCGCTATTTAATCTTACCGTTCCTAAAAACTGTAGGCTTTTGCTACCTTCTTTGATAGTTAAATATACCAGAGATTTTAACATTAAACTTCTCGATTTCAATTATAGCACCGCGTTGTACTGGCGTAAATTTTTGCTACATTTTTATAAGTCACTTAAAAATAACTTTGAAACAAATATTGTCTAAATGAAACAAATAAAAGTTGAAAATTTAGGAATAAATTTAAAAGAATTTTAATTAAAAAGTACACAATGCTATCTATCATCTTGCCAATGATGTATACACATAGGATGTGTTTCAGGGTATGGATATCTCAAAGAAACTTGCAAAACTTAATACACGTAAAATATACTATGGTTTTTGGTAAATAAGAATGGCTACTATCAAGGTTCAAAACTAAATTAGAGTTATCCTTCTTTTATCCTTCCGAAAAAATGCTTAAAAGATTACGGAAGCCCTAGAATATTTAAAATTGTGATTTATATTGCTTTCCTTCTTTTGTAAACAACAGCCAAATATACGTCAAAAAAAGTTCTAATAAGAAAATTATTCTAGTACATTTTTCTTATTCTGTAAGATTTTATTTATTTGTGTCTAACGTTTCACGTGCGCACAGATTCATATACTATTGACAGAAAAAATACTCTTACGCGCTTTCATTTTAATGGTAAAAATACGTTACTGGGTTAATTAATAGTAAGCAACTAAAGACACCAGTAATTGGTTAGTAACGTAAATTAGCATTTACCTTCATAGATATTGCAAGATATGATATGTATCAAACAATATAACAATTCTCTGAGATTATATAAATTTCGTTTATAAATTACTTATTAAAAAAATTTTAAAAAAATTTGAAATGTTTCAGATTTTAAATTACGTCCAAAGGGGCGTTTTTTTAACGTTTTGAGTGTTACCTTTATTTATTAAATATCATGTTCTTTGCACTTAAACCATAAAAATTCAGTTCAAGAGCAATATCGCAAAAATAATGTTTAAATTAAGCATATCTTTAGAATTTCCGATATACACAGTTCTCGCGAGCTGGAGATAAAAGTATTTTTTTTTCTATATAACGTTGCCATTTCTCGCTTTTTAAAGCATTGAGTTTGTAAATAAAAAATTTCGTTAAGTTTTACAAATATAAAATCTATAATAAAACAAATTCCAAATTTGGGATTTCAGATGCCCATATTCGCAGTAGGATTTCGTCATTCAAAATTCGATGGCTCTATGTTCCATTGTTTTATCACAATGCGAGAAAAAAGAAATCATTATGCAGATTTTTTCATTATTTAATTTCTTCAATATAATGCAGGACTCTAACATTTTGTGGCAACAGTTTGAAAAGTGAACCGACGTTTATTGAGTCCGACGCAAAATCGCAAAACGAAAACAATAGTCCTCAGGGACAAAGCCCCTTTGGACTAAAAATTCTGTCAGGGTATAACGTATTATTTTTATTGCTTAGTTCTGGATGGTGGATATTTTTTCACATTTAATACAACGACTGGCAAAAATGTAATACTAATCTCGCAAATGCTTTCATAATGCACTTAAGCTAAAATTGTTTTGAATGTAAACAAAGAAGTTTATAACTTAAAAATTTAAATACTACAAATGGAAAATTATCACACTCTTTAAGAAATGATTAAAAATAGTTGGTGTAAACTTATTCCATAAGCTAAATTAAATTATTTTGTTTTTGATGGAAAAGTTAATAATATAAATAAATACAATGCACTTTTATTATATAATCTTATCATATAAATAAAATTCTCAAAATTTATGAACTCTTTTCTTTACTATTATCCAATAATCTCGCGGCGGTTAATTTTTAACAAATACATCCTCAACACATAAAGATGTTGAAATATATATATAAAAATTTCTAATGCGTTTTCTATTTGACACAAAAGGGGAATATTTAACATTTTGCAAAGGCATCTTCCGCGATCAGAAAACAAACCGAAAAAATTCAGAAGCTTACCTTCTTCATAGGTGAAGTCGAAAACGTCTTTTTACTAAACTTGTTTCGATAAAACTCTAAATGCTTTCTTCTTTTAAAGCTGGCCGGTTGACTTTAAATAGCAAGTGATGGCCCCAATCTATGTCTTATCTATAGTTTTGGTCACCGCCCTTGAGCATCCTATGTGGAACATTCGGGACAAGGCCTATTTTTCAGTAAGTGCTCTCTACGACCAAAGACAATGCCCACTGGCTCTCTTTCTATGTTCTCTGAAATTTGCACCAATCAAAACAGTGGTGTTTTCAATTTTATTGAACAAAATGATACGGTTTCCTTTTTAACTGAAGAAAGTTATAGCTAAAATCTTCGCAAGTAAAATACAAAAAATTTTATTTCTAATAACTCGAAAATAGTCTAAGCTTTCTCCGAAACAGAAGCGAGTCACCGCTGCAACATAAAACTTTTATGGGTGCGTTGTCCATAAGTATTGAATAAGTTTTATACCCATCTATAAAATATCTAGGAAACTTTTGCGCATCATAAATAAGATAAACGCATCTATACATTTTTAATATCATTTTACGTATGCACTAACGATTGCACAATATTTCGTGCTTTATAAGAGTTTAATATTTATCATGACTTTTAAATCTGGTTTGATCTGTTTGTTTCGCCGCTGTGCTTTTCTCTCCATATCATTCATGCTTTTACTCTCGAACGTCAAATTTCAATTTTAAACTGAACTGACATATAATTTTAGAAATATAAAATAATTCTACGCTTTTATCCTCCTCCTTGAAACTTAATTAATAACTTCATAAAGATGTTTTAATTTTTTTGTATAATTTAGTACATAGTTATAATGGAATTACCTTCTTCAATGCATGCTGTCGCGTTACAAAATGCCCAACTATCAAATTGAAGCTATGCGGTTCGAATCCCGTCGACGGCATAGCTGATTTTACGTGTTTGCTGCTCCAAAGAATTCTAAACTCTCTAGATAGTCTGGATTTTGCTATCGTGAGTTTATTTACATGTCAGCTGCAGATTTTTCAGATTAAGAATATAATAAAAATTTCTGAACTTTTTTTCAGTTGAATATGATGTTACGATGAGAAATACATTCTTTGCATTCTAAGATCGATATATAAATAAACGGTGAATTACATACATGCAAATACACTAATCTTAAATCTCATACTTATTCACTAAGTCTTCTTTCAATACGTTCAATACGTTATAAATTTTGCTGTTACCTTTACATTTAAATATTATTTTTAATTCGAACTACTTCACGACAAAGAAACGTTTACTGACAGTTACTGGTTTTTGCCATTTTATTAATAATTATTTAAATTTCAGCCTTCGTATAAAATATATAAAAAACGAATGCAAAAGCTGAGTTCAACTTCCTCGATTATCAGTGGTGTTAGTAGGTTCCTATATTTAAAAAAAAAAAAAAAAGAAAAATCTGATGTGGACTCACATGACTTCCTTATATGGCCTATTAAATTATACACATTTTTTTGCTACATTTCACTTAAACTTTTTTTCCTCTAATTTCCTTAGAGATATATTTCTCATTCAATTAATTCAGTTCTCACTTCGCAGCAAAGCAAAAATACATGAAACCTCAAAAAAAAAAAAAAAAAAAAAAAAAAAATTGTAAAATAGAGCAAAGTATAAAACACCAAATACAGCTAACAGTTACAAAAGATTTTTTTTACAACTGAAATTAGAGTTTCTATGCAAAAGCAAGCAATTCGGCCAGCAAATATTTCGGTGCAGAAACTGAAAGTTTACGTTTGGTCCCAATCGGCAGAAAGATATTGAAGGTGCAAATTGACTAATTCACCATTCTCCTGAGTTTCAAATGTAAGCAAATGGGCGTTCGTTATTCTTAACTAGCCCCTTAAACTTTTAAATTGTTGATAATTCTAGAACTATTGCATGCAGATTAACTAAAGGCATAAAAACCTTAACTGGAACATAAAAACCACTGGTGCAACCCATTGCAACGAAAAACGAAGGTGCACAACTACATGTTATGGAAGTCCCATATACGCTGTACTGGTATTCATTCTTTAGCTATGAGAGATAAACGCATACGTACGTACAGGTGACAGGTGAGAGCGGATCCGGTCACCCAGGCGGCTTACTAGGACGATTCGGGTATCGTCCGAAATCCGCAACTTTACAACGCGATAATTCTTTGGTGCCCCAGAAGCCCGGCGTCAGGAGCTTAACAGAAACATTTGTTGGTGCTGTATTTGAATATATTGAAATTTGAGCATTTTAAAATGATATTTAAACATTTTACAATAATTGTAATTTACAATAAAATAATCGTATACTGATGCACACACTGCAGCTGTTGCATAAATATTGTACATTAATAATTAAACATTAACGGGGTGCATTATGTGCACCTAGGTTTAAACACTGGGAATAAATTGTTACAATAATATTTGTTTTGCACATGCGTACGTTATTGCACGTACATAAACATTTCACACTAATAATTAAACATTTTACTCTTGGTTACAGGCCAGCTCTACATTGATACATACATATATAAACATAAATAAATAAACACACATAAGTTACCCTGGTGCATTTTACATATATACGACATACATATATACGTAGTAACTTTGGATAGGTTAGTTACTTTAGAGTGTTCATGTACTGGGCACCATCATATATACACTAAACAGCACACTAACATGCCGCGCAAGAGCACTACTACCATACAACGAGGCACTCAGGAATAAAGCAGTTAGTACTGAAGACTGGGTAGGAATCTGTAGTGCACTACGTGACATGACAGATGTCATGCAGAAACATCGTTCAAATGGTTTCCAGAGCGGTAGAAATAAATATTTTCATTGAAATATGACACCCGAAATTTTTCGCGATTACAGTAGCGTCGTACAAGGAAGTAAAAAGAAGTGTTAACTTTGTTTATTATAAAACGATGGGAAAATTATTAATACTAATAATCATCATCATAACAGAAAACTATTATCAGAAAATGCAAAAAGGAAAATCAAAGTGCGTGGGCTAACAGCAGTGATAGTAGATAATGTTATTGCAATATTTAAGAGTTGTTTTCATTCACAACATTACAATCACAGCATTTTGATTACACGTAATCAAATTATAAGCATTATTAAATCATCCATTGAAAGCAAATTAGTCAAACTTAAAAATAATTTTCACACTGACTTCTAGTGAAACAGAATGAACTTATTCTCTGAATTAAACTCTGAAATGCGAATAAATTATTAACACTATTTTTCTGTTAATTATAATATAAATTAATCCTGTTTCCTGTGTTAACTGCTTTTCTGAAATATTATTTTTAGTTAACAATGGATGTCGTTCCTAGTACGAAGTAGTCGGAACTTGATTGTTATTACAAATTATAATTTTTTTTCTAAACTAAGACCGAAACTAAGTATGACTGGATTAAAAACTCCGTTCTAGTCAGAATGCTTACTAGTTCTGATTTATTCGAAGGAATAAAATAGAATGATTGCCACTAAAAGGGAACAACTTATTGCCATATCAACAGATCTAAATTTAAGCAAGAGCAGCTCCTAAATTTTTGGTTGTGGATTTAAACAGAAACTAGAAGTTTTTCGCATGTAAATAAATATATTAAAAATTAATACCATTCAGAATAGCGTATTTAACTGAAAAATCTTTGTCGACAAACAAAAACAAAATATAGAAGTAAATTAAATGCAGAATATGAAATACGACTGCAGATAACATGAATAGAGCTAGACTTCAACAGTTAGTGTAAAAAAAAAAATGGAAGCACCCGTCAATCGCTAAATATAATGCAAAGGTAGCTGACATTGGAGTCCGAGTTAACGCTAGTAATGAAAAAATTACGTTATATTAAACAAGTTATGTTACGTTTTGCAATAAAATGTTAATTAAAAAATCTGATGTGTACACCACATGACTTCCTTGTAGGCAATATTGAATTATACGCATTTTTTCTTGCATTTTATTTAAACTTATTGGATTGAATTAAATCTACTTCGTCGATAGCGCATAAACCACAATAGAATAAACGCACTCTTTAAAATTCACTATATTTGTTTACCATAGCGACACTCTGGCGCTTGGTTCCCTTAACAGAGTTATAGTTCGTTCATATTATAACTCAGAATGCACAAAATTTATATCATTTGAAGAATTATCTAATCGTTGCCACATGTTCTATTCAAACATTATAATAAAGCTAGAACGATGTATAAAAGAAAAAGTTTTCCACACACGATTCAGTATTTCGCATTTAATTAATTCAGTTCTTACTTCGCGACAAGGCAAAAATACATAAAAACTCAAAATATCTGTATTAAAAATTACGAAGTAAATCTTAAATACTCATTTCTTCGAATAAATTTCAAAAAGGATTCAGCATGATTTAATTCGCAATAACAAATGAAGGCGTTATCTTTGTTGTTGCGAAGCTTAGTCTCCCTAGATTGGCAACAAACCCACTATCCTGCTGTTTCAAATGTAAACCAACATGTCCGTCATGTTATTTAAATATTAGGCTTTACCGCACAACAGCTTTTAAATTGTATAATTCTACAAATATTGCTTGCAGGTTTCCTAATGCATAAAAACCTTAACCGGAAGATAAGAACAAGATAATTTAATTATTTTTAAAGCAAAAAAATGCACAATTTACAAACATATACGTTTGGAGCGGCCGATTGCAACCAAAATACGAGGTGCACATCTACATGTTATAGAAGTCCTATATACAAAAATTTCAACATTCTGAGGCTACTCGTTTTTGAGTTATGCGAGATACATACGTACGCACCACGAAAAATTCTCTTTAGTATTAATTTGAATTAGTTTTACGATTTTTTTGGGGGAAAAAGAGTCTTTTATTCTGTCCTTACGTACAGATGTCACGCAAAAACATCGTTAAATTGCGTTCGATAGCGGTCAAAATGAATATTTTCGTTGACATATGCTGCCTGAAACTTTTCGCGATTACAATACTTCCTTTTTACTTCGTACAAGGAAGTAAAAATATAGTCCTTTTCGTCAACTATCTTTCGATAAATTATCTATAACATATTAATCTACGTCTGGCCACGTCGTTGCTTTAAGCTTATC